CATCGTATACTACCACAAAGTCCTTACGACCTACAAAACCTGGCCCCCAGATATCAGGCCTAAATACCCACCCCGCAATCAGGCAGCTCAAGAACGACTATTGAAATAGCTAATGTACACACCAGCCAAGTTCACTGAATTTATTATTATAACAGACTTCTACAAAAGCATATACCCTAAAACGCTACCAGAAGAATAAAAAGAGGAAATGGAAATGGATTGACCAATCCGGATAAACACAAATACAGAATAGGAGGCGATCGATATAGCAAGGCTATAAAGAACAAAATCGATATATGCAATACTCTGCGCTGCACTAGAATACATACAAAAGCTACCCTTACAGGATAAAGCAGCTCTCAATCAAAACATTATATAAAAGATCGGAAAGCGCGCACGGAGGCGCTCAGAGGATCGGAGACAAAAGCGCAAGCGCGCTAGCTATCGCTTGGGAGGCTACTGAGGGTATTGAGACCTCATTTTTAGGAGAGGGGGATCATGTAAATTAGAGATTATCCCGCAGTTAGCCCAACCGTAATGCCCCCTGGGAGGCTCGCCTATACGGCCCGGTTGAAAATTACTAATAATAATAATAATAATAATAATAGAATTAATGAAGTGATAAGAGATTTTCGAATCAAGAATCCATATATCATTTTGGACTTTAACATATATTGTAATATTAGAATATAGGGAATCAGTATATTTGTTTACTATAACTATTTGTGTAAAACTATTATTCTTAGTATTTTTATTTGAATGCTAAGCTTTTTTGATTTTATTGTACTTCTAACAAGCATTTTACCAGTATTCTTTTTTCTTATAAAATTTGTAAATATAAAATCCAGCCTTGGTAGCTTTGCTAGAACTTAACAAAGTATTGTTGCCTTTCTCAAACATATATTTTCTTCCATTCCTATAATATTCTTTATATTCTTTTCTACCCCTTCCTCGAGCTCTTTTATTACCTCTTCCTTTTATATTTCCTTATATAGTATTAACTATTACTAAATAACTTATTATATCTCAAGGAATTCTCTTAACTTGTTATAAAGCATATAATATATCTTGTGTATTCATATTTAATAATATAATAAAATTTCGCTATATCTATCAAACTTCTGTATCTGATAGTATACTCAAAAGATAAAAATAGACCTCTATTTCAAATAAAAGTTATATTGTTGTAGATAATTTATATTAATAATCGAGGAATCGATCAAAAAAGAATTGAATCATTTTTATTTTAAGATCGAATTGCTTATAAATAAACTGTTGCCAGAGATTCTGAACATATTGAAGATTCGCATTATTATTGAATATTAAAAGTTTTGCCCAAGTTTCTACAATATCTTCTGTATCGATTATATACATAAATTAAAAACAATATATAAAAATAATACAGGAATTGATAATAGAGAATACAATTCCTACTTTTCTATCCCATTCAACAATATCAGCTCAACCGCTCACTAATCTTATACTTTTCCCTATACACAAAGATAACACAAATACTACTATTATAGCAATTCGAATAACTTTATAGAAGTCTATCCAATTATAACCATTAAAAATAACTAGTATTCCCCATTTTGTTTGGATTGTATCGACAATAATCTTGCTTGTTATAATATCAAAAGTAGGGATAGCTATAGAGAAATAAAAACTTGAAACTTAGAGGATACAAAGGTATAAAATGAAGCTTATAATAATGTGGCGCTCATAACCTATCAGAAATAGATAGCAAGTTATGTATAAGGAATGATATATTGAAATATATATATCAGATTTGTTAGAAAAGGTACTTATACCGCATATCACGCTATGCTATATCGGGATTAGCCCGCATGTGACTCTGTCGAGTTTATATATATATATTGTATCTCTATGTAAAACTTAATAATATTAAGGCTTTTCCACTAACTCATATATAATCTTCTAACAGATTATAAGCCCGGGTTCGTGTGGCGCTAGGATTAGTCTTCCGGAGTTACTTGATTAAAGCTACAACAGATAGTAGTTATTCCGTCAAATCCGGAGACTGTCGTCTTTGTAAATATGGTTCAATCCTAAAGATATCCAGATGGCATTTAGTTCAATACAATTGAGCAATTGGGGGAGCACGGCTTTGCTCAGCGAATAAATCTGGCTTCAGTGCCGTTGTAAGATTTCGGCATTCTGTATAGTGTTGTAAAGCGCGCGGTGCTATTATGGTGGAGATTGTAATAAATATTCAGGTGCGCGGTACCAAAGCAATCTAGTCTGTGAGGTTGAAAACGGTGGAGATTGTAATAAATATTTAGGTGCGTGGTATTATAGTAATCCAATCTACGGGGTTGAAGAGGGCGACGAAGTTCTGGTAGACAACTGCTATCTATTCTTATCTTTTTTCGACAATTCGAGAATCTTAGTTATAGCAAGATTCCCTTGTTTCACTTTTGATTCCTTTCTTTTCGATCCCTATAAGCCCTACATTGATAGCAACGATGCGATATAAGTAATCGGTAGTGCTATACGAATCGATTAAACTTTATATAATTAAGGGTTATCTATAGAAAACCTTGAAGTTGAGAATACTTTGGATATAGTTTATGGGGAAGCTACGAAACCCATCTAATTTAATAAGATTTTCTTTGTTTTTAGAAATTTCCCTGCCATCCCCTTCATTTCTTCAATAGTTTTCTGATCATCTATATCTATGATCTGATGAATGTAATAATTATTGGATTATTGTTTTATTTAATAATGGAATTTTATAATGTTTAATTTATTTCGCTCATTAGTTCCGCCATTTTATAACATTTCAATTCTCAATCTTATCTCCTTCCGATAAGCAATCGAATTTTACTTGTATTCTATTTGTATACAATCATTTTAATCCTTTTTTGGTCTTTTACAAGGGGATCTTTGTTTTCTTTTCGATCACTATCTTTATATAATTTCGATTTCGATTTTTTATATCAACAATAGCTGCACTAACAATCAAGAAAAAAGAAGAATATATAAAGAGCCGGAGGGTCTATAGGAACCTAAAAACATTAAGTATAGAGAGCTGGAGATTCTAAAGGGAATCGAAAGCAATCCGAAATCATATATAAAGGAGGAATGGATGATTATGGTAGTAGGAGAACACATACTACTATACTTGGGGGAACACTCTAGTATTTCATTATATAGGAGATGATCCTATTATCTCCTACACTCCTTATGGTAGAGATCAGCAAGACCAAGGTGATCAAGGGTATTACTGTCAGTCTTATATCTCCTCTTGGATATATCTAAGAGGGAGAGGAAGAGTTATAGAATACACTCTATAAAGAAGCGCCCTGGCGTTCCATTATATAAGAGAGGTGTACGATATCTCCTATACCCTTGTAAAGAAAAGCAAGGATCAAGGGATCCTATATGATCAGGGTGATTATATAGGAGACTGTATCCCAGCTTCTTTACTAAGAGGGAAGAGCTGTAGAGGTATAGGCTCTATAGGTCAGTAGGTATCGTACCACCAGTACAATCCCTATGCCCTTAGAGAAGCGTCTACACTAGGTATTGGGTAGTCCTAGAGGAGACGATTTTCTTTAAAAATTAGCGAAAACATTGATGTCTGGAAGAGATATTATCAGCGATCAATGCCTTTATTGTCAATCACTTACTAATCCCAGAATGCTTTCTAGTGGTTTCTGAGATCTGACTTACTAATCCCAGAGTGTTTCTTGAAGGCTATTGAGATCAATGCTATAATCTCAAAGCGTTTTCCAGTATACTCTGAAATCAACTTGCTAGTTTCAAAACATTTATTAGCACCTCTCAAGATTTACCGAATGAGAGCAATCGGACACTGCATACATATTTTTATGATATAGATTATACCGTTTAGCTTGATTGAGATCAATTATAGCCCTAACTTACAACATAACGCCCCATAGCTTTCGATAAGCTATATAGCTTTAGATATGCGATATTAGTATGGAGAAATGTTAGAAAAGGTGCTTATACCGTATATCACACTATGCTGTATCGGGATTAGCCCGCATGTGACTCTGTCGAGTCCACACATATATATCGTATCTCTATGTAGAACTTAATAATATTAAGGCTTTTCCACCAACTCATATATGATCTTCTAACAAGATTTATATATCCGGGAAGTCCAAAGAAGGAGTTTTATAGTAATATGCACGTACCATACACATGCTACACATGTGATTTCCAACAAATTTGAAGCCGCCGAGATCCTGGATTCCTATTGGGAAAGAAGAGGTTATAAAGAATCTTGTTTAAAGTATATTATTTGTTGGATTGGTTACAAAATATTAATTGAAGAATCTGTAAGCTATTTAAAGAATACACAAGAATTGATTCACAATTTCTATTAAAGATATTCTAATAAACTAGAACCTGCTTAATCGAATACTACCCCACCTCTGGATAATCGAATTATGATATTTTCATTTTAATAGAGTTCGACTTTTAGGAGGGGGGTAATGTTATAGTGTGAGATTATGTGATATATTGGTTCCCTTGAAGGGAATCGAATTGAATACTTGTGTTGGAGTGCAAGTAAGCTAGGGCCTGATCGGGCTAGCTTGCTTAGCAAAATCCTGTATATCTTCAATTTGAAAGATTCTATATTATAGCTCTTTAAGCTACGTCTTAATCCTCAATCTGAACCCATTGCCTAAACCAATATAACTTTGCCAGATTAGGGCAAAGTTATTAGAACCCTATCCCGCCCGCCTGCCCCGTGATAGATGAGATAATATAAGATAAGATAGATTATACTATATTTCATTTCATCTCGTTTTATTTCGTTTTCGTAATCTGAATGAATGAGTATATAGATGAATGAATATAAGTCTATCTATTTTCTTTTATTTTATTTCATCTCATCTAATATATACTCGATAAAGATTATAAATTTTCACTCGAATAGTCAGCTTGTTAGATATAATATCTATATAGGTATATAATACAATACAACACAACTCAATACCTCCCCCTCAACCTTTCATATTCGTATTAGTACCATTCCCTCTACTCTTAGCGAATTTCTCATGCCATTTATTTACTTTTCCCGTGCTTGTCTTTTTCGTAACATCGGGTTCTTTTTCTTTATCGTTTTCTTCTCTGTTGAGTTCTTCTTTTTCGATGAGTTCGATGGTGTCGGATATACTTCCTATTCTCGTGATGCTTGGTTGAGTTTTGGGGGTGGAGGATTCCGTGGAAGAAGAATGTTGAGTAGAGGAGGGAGAGAGAAGCATCAGCGGATTGGAAGTATTTTTTTGGCGGAGGAGGTAGGTTTTTTTGGTGGAGGTGGAGGTGCAGGCGGAAGAGGAAGAGGGAGATACGAGGAGGTGTGCGTGGTGTGGGGGTTTGGGGGAGGAGGTTAGGAGGAGGCTATGGGTGGAGAGGGAATGGGGTTAGTGTGTGGGATTGGTGGTTGGGAGAGGAGGGGGCCGGAATGAGCGGGGCGGATGAGATTGGCTTACGTGGGAGGAAGATCGGATTCTAGAAGGGTGAGGAGTTCCGGGGGTAGTTCGAGGAGTTTGAAGGGTTGTTGAGTGTGGTTTGCTGTAAAGGGGATTTCGGTTGACATTTTGGGGGGTGTGTGGGTTGGTGGTGGGTTGGAGAAAGGATTTGTTTTTGAAGATTGAATGTTGGTGGTTTGGATGTTGGTGGGTTGGAGATTGGAGATTTGGAGATTGAGGTGAGGTGGAATTCAGATTCGGCTTGGTGAATTGAGTGTCGTACTGTATTGTATTGTGTTGTATTGGTTTGTATTATTTGTATTGATTGGGAGGTTGAGCGCGCCGAGGTTTGAAAAATTCGGAAAGGGAGATGAGTTGGATGATTATTTTCGGCGTTTATTTTGAAGATTGAGTGATGGTTTCGGGATTGAAGATGAAGAATATTCGGGATTGGAAATGGGGACTATGTAATTACCTAGTAGGTATCTTATTATCTTATCGGCATGTTAGATATTCCGAATTTATGTTTCAAGCACGTGCAAGATTAATATAATAATATAAGCTCGAAGGATCTCTATTATAGAATAATAAAATGATATTAATAAGTCTATCTACGAAGTACGATATTCATCTATAATAACTGCCCCTCATTCATCCCTAGTATAAGATCTTCATTACCAAATCTCCTCTTGACCTCATCCATCCCTCGAGAATCGAGATTTACCCATTCCATACTCATTCCAATCTTTCATCTCCAATGATTTCATTCTCGAATAATCTTTTTTTCCAATTTCCATTCTTAGTTTTAATTTTAGTGTATGGCGTCAGAGAAGGGAACGAGAGGTAACTCAAATTAAATTGGTTTAATCAAAGACAACTCAGCCTTAAGTAGATCACCAACCTCTTCTTTTTTTGAGTGTGAGAGAAGAAGAAAAAAAAGATGCAAAAATGTCAAGTCAAGTGAAGAAATCATCAGCAAACAAATCAAGCTCAGCTGGACGGCGGGGTAAGTATTATTATAAGTGTGGACTTGAGGAACTTTTTCGTGTTCCATGGGAAAGGAGTTCGAGGCCAATCATCGCGTGGAGAATAAATCGAGGGGCTGGACGCGGTTACATGGGATTCATGGATTGATGGATGGATGGGAGGGATGTGAATATGGATATGGATGATACAATACTATATACTCCCTACGATGAATTCTTTTTATAGAGACGAGAGAAGGAAAGAGAAGAAGGTAAAGAGAAGAGAGAGATAGATAGAGGATAGATAGAGGGATAGATAGATAATAATAAAGATAACGATAAAAGATCAAGAACAACGATTGAATCTCACGACACCAATGGATTCAGCTGTTTATATAAAATGATCAATATCAATAAGACCAGCCATCATATAATATACATGTCATTTGGAATACTAATCAGAAGGAGATCCACAATCACTTGATAGATGTTTGAAGTGTTGTATATACATACTACATACATATCTATCTTCTAACCTCCTACCTCCTACATAGCACAGATCTATACGAATATACTCGAAATGCGCCACAACGCGTTTTTTCCTTTTTAACGTCAAATATGTTGGAGGAACGTGTAGAGGTTGATGAGTACAGGGAGTGAAGAGGAGTGAAGAGGAGTAAAGGGGTGAAGGGGGTGAAGGGGGTGAAGGGGAAGGGAAGAAAGAGAGGGAAGAAAAGAAAAGGTAGAAAAGGTAGGAAAAGGTAGAAAGATAGAAAGACAGAAAAGGTAGAAAAGACAGAATATAAAATATAGATCAAATGATAATATAAACAACTTCAAGAGATTAATAAAAATACTCTATTTGTTATTTAAAAAGGTTATCGACAAGTAATCAAACACAATCAATACCTCATTTATTACCACATTTTACTATATTTTAAATTTTGCATTTTGCATTTTACTTTATTACGCCGGCCTTCTTCTTTATTATTTTTCTCACGTTATCCACTCACTCACTCCAACTCACTCATCAAGTTCATCTCTGCCGCAATAATTTGATATCACCACCCATAATCCCCTCCACTCCACTCCACTCCCCGTACCTTACCAACCCTCCCCAAATTTTATGATACAATTCTTCTCTCCATCTCTCCATCTGTCTGTCTCTCTGTCATCTGTCATCTGCCTTCCGCCTTCCGCCTTTCGCCTTCTGTCTTCTGTCCTCCATCTGCTGTCCATCTGTTTGTCTGCTTGTCTGTTTGTACAATATCAACCACAATCAACCAGTCGGGTTCAACGAATTCTATACCACAAATCAATACCCACCACAAAACACTTGACCTTCTTTTTGATTTAGATTTGTCAAAAAACATCATCACCATCTCTTCAATCAATCAAACAAGGGTAAAAGTAATCATCTGTTCTTTTTGATCTTGTGTTCTTCAACCTCTGCCAAATAATATTGAGAGAAAAGCAAGAAAAAAAAAGGTCATATATTTCATTCCATTCGCCATGAAGGAGGCCACACATTAAAGAGACCCACGATTTCGGAACCATACCATCCATACCATACCATTCATCCTCTCAAATCCCAATCCCAATCCGAATTCAACATCTCAACAACCTCTCAATTCTCCTACAATGGTTCGAGTTACAGATGAGCTGGCTTTGTCCCTCGATCATCTAAATCTATTCTACGCACACGACCCTCATCTTTCAAACCTACCCGTCCTCATATATCATGGTCCTTCTACCACCACCAATTCGACCCTCAATAGTTCACGAATTCAACTTCACATCTTCACCGCTGCAGGTTTTCAATCTTACCAGCGCATAACCATTTCACCAAACTCACCGCTATACGAGTCCGTGAATTATCTCCCGCGCGATAAACAAGGAGATGAATTATGTCGCGGTCTAGCATTCGGTCTATTCAAATATTTCAAAGAGTTGCCAGAGGTGGTGAAGAGTGGATTAATATTACAAGTTGCGAATACGTCAAGGAAACAAAGACCAGGTTCGGCACCGACACTATTCGGCGAACAACATGCGGCAGATTTGGCAAGTTCGATGGTGAGGGTGGAAAATACGCCAGATGTGACGAGAGATATTGAAGCCGCGTTACGGATACAAAATATTAATTATGTGGATGTGGATTTGGTTCTGCCGCCGGGTTCGATATCACCTTTTCAAGAATTGGAGGGAGATTTGGATGAGGAAGAATATCCCGATCTAACCTTGAGGCAATATGGATCATATGCATCATTGGTCAAGGTCTTTGGAGAAGTGGCATTCCTGCCTACGTCAAAATTACGTCGAGCCCCGTCGAAACCGACATCATTGAATCGAAGTAAATCATTTCAGAAGGATCAAAAGATGGCTTTGCGACGAGAGATGGGAGAATTGGTAGATACGGAAGAACGTTATGTGATAAAGATGCATGAATTGGTCAATCATATCGCAGATGATTTTCGAGCCAAAGCCAAAAGTCGAGCATTTGGAAGTTTCAGCCCTTCGGAAGATGATCTACAAAAGCTATTCCCACGATGTTTGGATCGAATCCTACAAATTAATTCCACCTTCTTATCAGCGATACGAAAAGTGATGGATGAAACCGAGGAAGAAGCCATGCAAGATCTGGAAACACCAATAGTCAGCTCCACCTCATCTCGTTATGGTGGCTCGGGTCGTTTGAAGGACCCTACGGGTGCACTGGCCTTTGCCAAAGTCTTACTTGAATGGTTCCCACAATTTTCCGAGAGTTACCAACAATATATCCATGCTAGCCAGGAATTTCCACAAATCATTTCGAGCTTCATGAAGCAGCCAAGTAGCTTCTCAAGTCGGGTACAAGCTACCGGGGAACAACGTCTGAGATCGGCTGTAATTGAGCCGGTTCAGAGATTACCAAGATATAGTCTCTTTATTGATAATATTGTCAATTCGCTTCCAGTGCTACATCCAGCTTTACAACCTATGTTGAAGGCTAGAGATATCATTACTTCGATATGTTCACTTGATCCACCAGCAGCCGACAAGTCACAAGTGGTGAATCGATTGAGATATTTGGTTGACGCTTGGCCTTCTACACTACATCCTCAAGGACGTCTAATCACGGCGGTTGATACGATAGAGTTGCCACCTCCATATCATGTTGAAGTCACGACAGGTAGCAGTGCAGGTATGACCAAGGAAGGTATACTGCTACTCTTCGCTGATTGTATTGTTTTGTTGAAGAAGAATAAGGATTGTTTACAGACCGCTCGAGGTGTCATGGCGGAGATTGATAAACCTTCTGCGCAAACTATGATGGCATCAGTTACCGCAGCAGCTGGTGGACAAAAACATCTCTATGACCTTTCTTTTACTGGCTGGCATGTTCTTGGAGATACTAGGGTTACATCATCTGATGATAATCGATCTATTTGGTTAACTTCCTTACATGAGTTGAAAGACGCAAATATGGGACGAGATCGTAATCAACCTGCTACAGTTCGAAACTTTGTGTTACAAGGGGCTTACGAAGCCAAGGCATCTAGGTTGGGTGAGGAATTGATCAAAGCTAGACTTGAAGGAAGATTCTCGGAGGCTGAACGCGAAACCGATAGATGGAGTTTACGATCGATTAAGCCGGCTGGAATTCATATTTATTGTGCCATTTTTGCTGAAGGTGTTGATGATTTGGTTCAAGGCCGGAGAGGACCTGCTCCTGTTCGTCTAGTTGTTGATCACGAGAAAGGTACAAAGGGTGCTCCTGTGGGTCATTATGGTGTTGATATCGTAGCCAATGTCACAACATTAGCAGGAGGAGAGAAATATAGACTCGAGGTAGATGGACTTAATGATAGGGTGTATGTGGATGAAGTACTTCCTGAGTACTTGATGGTTACATTTGCCAAGAGAGGTAAGAAGTGGCTGCGTGTTATTTTTGAGGACATGACTAACCATTTTAGTAACCGATCTACTTCGACTTCAACATCATATCAGCAATCCAGCCTTATCTGCACCTTTTACCTCTTTTTACTCGAAAATTCTAAAATCTATCGACGTTCTGTGTGAGGGTGATAGATCAAAATCGTATCGACCACATTCTCCTGTCAAAATTCTTTCCAGTCTACTCAATAGTGGTTTCGGAGGTTCACCATCAACTACGAGTCTCAATG